TGAGACAGACAGACAGACAGACAGACAGACAGACAGACAGACAGACAGACAGACAAAAAGACAGAGAAATAATAGCAGGGAAACAGAACAAAAGGAAAGGGAAAAAAATTGAATCTACTGCAATGACACCCTCGAACTTAAAATACCTGGGTCAAGAAAGATCGTCACTCTCTCTCCTGCACATATTTGTGTCGAAATTGTCTAAGACGACCACCAATTGTCGATGAAAAAAGTGTTTGTCTTAAATGGGCGGTCGTCTTAGACAGGGTTGTTATAATAATTAAGAAACACAAAGCGGTAAATGGGAAGTGGTAGTTTGTACATGTCGTGATTGTCTTGGACAGGTGGCCGTTAGAGCAGGTTTGACTGTAGGCCTAATATAAAACAGACTAGACACAAGACTCAATTATCAGAACAGCATGTGAACACTGACCTAGGACAGTGCATGAGAAACACTAAACAGACCGAAACATGGGTGATTGGGGGATGTCACTGCAGGTAGGTCCTAGATCTACTTCGATCTTTTCTTTTTCTCTGCTGTTTAGTTTCTCTGAATTGCTTCTCCCGTGCACAAAATGGCTGTTACTGTTGTGATGTTAATCTCTTTACTACTCAAACGCCGAAAGAACCCAAGCAGTAGTCGTATATCGTTGTACAATATGCGAGTTTATGCTGAGCACAACTCCCCCCCCCTCCCCCCTCCCCCTCTTTCCCTTCCGCATGAAAAACAAACAAAAATAATAGAGGGAGAACTGCGGAGCTGTGGTGAAGAAAAAACAATACATGCTCGGAGGAGAATATTTCTCCAGCGAAAAGAAGAATGAAGAATTAAAGGTTACGAGTTATTATGCACTTGTGGCTTTTGTGCTGTGGCCACGACCTGAGTAAGGTATAACCATTTTCCCCCTGGACAATGGGTGGCCATCTTATTCTTAGACAGTCAATTTCGACTGCAAATCTGCTACAACCTTTTTTTGTTGAAAAAAAACCGCATTGGTTGAAACAAAATGGCGGCTCAAGGTCAGAGTCAAGAATTAGGTTGATAAGCCAGACGGCATAAAATACACGTACTAGCCTATCTGTCAAGATCTCACTTCTGTGTGCACGTCTGTTGGTATCGTTTTGTTTATAACGAGGTATAGTATCGATATTTTAAAAACCATTCCAGGCCATTCGAGAGGTCACGTGACCCGCTCCAAATTATTCCGTGGACTCCGGCTGCGAGTTCAAAGGTTGAATCAGGCTGGTTGAAAATTGAAGTGAAATGGTTGGTTTGCTGAACGTGAAAGGGTGTCAGCCAACCTGATCTTTGGTGTCAGCTAAACGCCAGAAAACTGATGACGCATTATACGTGTGCACGAATGCTCGAGATTTTCATGGCTCTGAGATGAAAGGGTTTTGTTTTGATTTGTCTTATTTAAAATGTTTTTTTTTAAAATGTTTTAAAATCCAGCATTATAAGTGCTTTATAACCTTCTCGCTCAACCCCCCC